CCAGCAACTGTCTTGGGTCTTCTTTTTCTCCCCTCTGGCTCTATGGCATCAAAGCCTTGAGGTGGCTTTCAAGCCCTCAGAAGCCCCTGTGAGGAATAAAGGTAGCATTCTGGCACACAGGAACCAGAAATGGGTTCCTTACATGCTGTCCCATCTACCTCTGACATCCCATTGGCCACATTTGAGTATTCTAATCTAATGTGAATTGTGAGGACCTCTGGACCATGCCAACTCCCTGAAGAGCTGGGGAGGGAGTGAAGTCTCAGCCTCCTCATATCTACTTCTTGTTGCTGCCAACTTGGTCCCATTTGCTTGCTCATGAGTCTCAGAGGACGACCCTCTGATATTTCAGTCACTTAAACCTGGTGTTTGATCCAGAACCTGGACAACCCTGGCTGAGGTTATACAGCTAAACCCCCAAACAGCCTAGGGTTTCCTCTCACTCTGTTTGGAGCAGACCAGGCATGCTGAACACCAAGAGGTTCTAGTAGGCTCCTTCTTGCTTCTTAGGGTTAGCACTGGAACGTAGGATTAGGCCCACTCACTTCCTGGAATGGATGAGGGCCAGTGTGATGCAAGCAAATATACTGATGACCACGGGAACTGGTAGTAGATGAACAGACCCTAGTGAACTGAGCCACGTGCCTTGGCTCTAAATAGGGAAATTTTGAACTGATATGTGAATCATGGCTGAAAATCAACAGTACTAGAAAAAAGCCTCTGACCTATCAGAAATAGGTGGAAGCTGGCTGAGTCAGGAGTTGAAGGCCTGCCTGGGATACATGAGACCTTATCCTCCCTTCTTTCTACCACCTTCCCCCAAAGCCACTATAGAGAAATAAAAAGGATTATATTTGATAGTTAAACTCAAAGTCACCAAGTTCCATCCCCAGCACCACTAAATAACGCAGTAAGCCATCTTTGGTTGGATTCTGGCTATTCTACACTTCACATACTTTAAGAGGCCATGGACAAACAATGCTGCTCACTGTAGCACCCATGCATGAGTACATGCATGGATGCGTGCGTGGGTGATGGGTCCATGATTGGGGATCTCAAGGTCCTCTGGAAGCTCTCCACAGCCTTACAGGATGTGTTGTCCTGACAACAGCACTCTTTCCTGCCCCCAATTCCAGGAAACATGTTCCCCACCATTGGTGACGTCCACCTCGCGCCCTTCACGGACGAGCAGCTCTACATGGAGCAGTTCACCAAAGCCAACTTCTGGTGAGTGTGTCCCAGGTGTCCTGGCCAGGCCATGGAGCCTGCCTGCTTGGGGATGGACCCAAACCTCTGGTGGCCCCTGTCTTTCCTCTTTTTTCTCCTCTGCTTCATTAGGATCTGAAGGACATGGGCTAGACAAGGGCCAGCTAATAAAGAAAGCAAGTAGCTCCACCTGCTTTTCTTACTGCTAGTGACCTTGTGGGTGGGGTTGGGGATTTCCACAGGTACCAGCCATCCTTCCATGGAGTGGACCTGTCTGCCCTCCGAGGCGCTGCTGTGGATGAGTACTTCCGGCAACCTGTGGTGGTGAGTAGCGTGTACAGGACACTGCTGGACTAAAGAGGTTCAGGCTTCACCATGGCCTCATGCAAGCTCTGGAATCTAGAAACCTCTGCTTCTCTCAGGACTCTCACTCTGTAAAGCATATGCAACTGCAAGCTGGCTTTGTAGCAAATACACTTGATTGGATGATACATAGACCCATGGTTCAGTATCAAGAACAAGAATCTACAAAAGCTTTGTGGTTCACACTTATAACCCCTGCATGCAGGTGGAAACATGGGATCAGGAGATCAAAGATAGATAAAGAATGGTTCCGCAATTACAAGCACCTACTGCTCTTGCAGAGGACCTGATATTGGACCCCAGCATCCACATCAGATTGCTCACAGTGGCCTGTAACTCCAGCTCCAAGGGCCTCTGAGTACACCTGCACTGAAGTGAACACACACATGGGCGTGCATACAGAAATGAAATTAAGGAGAAAAAAAAATGGTGTTTTAGAGAGATGTCTCTGGTTAAAGGGACTGGCTGTTCTTCCAGAAGACACCAGCAGACCTTGGTTCAATTCCTAGCATTAATGGCAGCTCACAACCATTTGTAATGGGTATCCATAATGGGGCACCAGTCACTTATGTGATGTATACACATCATCCAGATAAAATACCAACAAATATAAGTAAAGAGTAAGTATGGCCTGCGTTTATGTCTGTGTGCTACATGTATGCAGTGCTCACAGAGGTCAGGAGACAGTGTGGGATCCCCTAGGACTGGAGTTCTAGGGGTTGTGAGTCACCATGTGAGTGCTGAGAATTGAACTCAAGTCCTCTGAGAACAGCCAGTGATCTTAACCACTGAGCTACCTCTCCAGACCTATAGAATAGTTTTGATATTGATTGATTCATTTTAAAGAATAAAAGTAAATAGCACTAGTGGTCTTGTAGAGGACAGGCTTTGTTCCCAGCGTCCATATGGTGGTTCCAATTCCAGGGGATCAGATGCTTTCCTCTGGCATCCCTAGGCACTGAATGCACATCATGTACTTACGTGCAGGGAAAACATACAGAAAATAAAAATAAATTGGAGGCTGGAGAGATGACTTAGCAGTTATGAGCACAGTTTGCTCTTACAGAGGATCTGGGTTCGGGTCTTAGCACCCCCATGGTGGCTGAAAGTCATCTGAAACTCCAGTTCTAGGGATATGAATTATATACTCATACATAAATATATCTAAAACAAAGAAAAGTCCAAAAGTTAAATGATATTAAAAGAATAAATTTAAGAAAAATAACAAATTGTATTTATTTGAGACAGGCTCTCAGTATGTGCCCTAGCTGGCCTGAAACTCAGAAATTTACCTGCACCAAGAAAAGCAAATGTTCAACAGCAAAAGCCCTGGTGGCACAGCACCCTTCCTGTAGAAGCATTGTTTGTTTTTCAAAAAGCCTAACACCAGGGGCTGGAGAGTTGACTCAATGGAAAAAAGCACTGGTTGCTCTTCCAGATGACCCAGATTCAATTCCCAGTACCCATGTGACAGATTAAAACTGTGACTCCATTTCTAAGGGATCGTATACCTTTTTCTGGTCTCCAAGGTTACTAGACAGGAAAAACACCCGTACATATAAAACAGGAATTCTAGAAAGTCTGCACTCAAATGTGTGATTGCAGCTACATATTTTTAAGCTTTACCTCAGTTTAGCATAATTGGTATACTACTGTGCCTTCATTTGTCATCAAAGAACATGTACTAATACTTCAGACCTTGCTCAAAGTCCAGTGTGTGGTCTTCAAATGGATTTCAGCTGGGTGTGGTAGAACACACCTTTAATCCCAGCACTTGGGAGGCAGAGGCAGGCAGATTTCTGAGTTCGAGGCCAGCCTGGTCTACAGAGCGAATTCCAGGACAGCCAGGGCTACACAGAGAAACCCTATCTTGAAAAACCAAAAATGCTTAGTACAACCATATGTCCATGTCAGTTAGGTTATATTTGTTAATTATCTTGATCAGGATTCATCATTTTCCTTAAGGCTGAGTCTCACTATGAAGACCTCAGTTGTCCTTGAAATCATAAAGATCCTTCCACATGCCTGACCTCACTACTAATTCTTTTTCCTAATGTGTAACTGATTGTGAATCTTAGTTTTTTTGTTGTTTTGACATTTTGATGGGGATATTTTTTTTCCATTTCAGCCTAATTGTTTCATAGATTTTAAAACTGTTGTATTAAGTGCACACAGGTGTAGAATCAGAACATCCTGTTGGGCTACTCTTTTTGTCACTATGGAACCTTTATATTATCATTTGCCGTAAAGTCTGCTTTTACCCAGTAATAGTTGTGTCCTTTCTATTCTTCTGTAAACCTGTTGTGGCCTTACTACTTAAGGAAACATACATACATACAAGTTTCTGTGTGGTTTTTTTGTTTGTTTTTTTCAAAGCAGAGTTTTTCTTTGTAGCCCTTGCTGTCCTAGAACTTGTTCTGTAGACCAGGCCTTGAACTCAGAGATCCACCTGCCTCTGCCTCCTGAGTGCATGAAAGTCTTTTAATTCCAATTCTTAGCCTTTTAAAGATTATTCAGGCTCCCTGGCCCCTTAATGTCTTCCCTTCTATTTCACTAGTCTGAGAAACTCTAGTCGGAGTGCAACTTCTGATTCTCCTCTAGGATCTAGTTGTATGTACAGTAGTCAGTCATTCAGCAAAATGATTCTTTTTTGTCCTTTGGAGACCGCACTTCCCACTGCCCTCTGGCCTCCAGGTCCCATTACAGGTGTGTGTCACCACATGTGAGGGATGAGTCTCCAACCCTATCTTCCATTTATTCCCCATTTTATATTCTCAAGTGCTCAGTCTTCCAGTTCCTTTCTCTTCACTGTTCTATTGGCTCTTTAGCTTTCTCTTCTATTGTTTTAAATGGGAGTCTCACTAACTTTGACCTGGAACTCACTGTGTAGCCCAGACTAGCCTTAAACTTCCAATTTATTCACCTCGGCCTCCCAAATGCTGAAAGTACAGGCATGTGTCACTGATGCTGAATTCATCTTTTACTTAGGCTTTTTAAATTTCTGTGTGTTACTTGGCAACATGTATATGCATTCCAGGGATTAAACTTAGGTAGCAGGCCTCTATATGCAGCAGGTGCCGTTACCTGCTGAACCAGCTGAGTGGCCCTTTTGGTTCTTTGAAACAGGGTTTCACTGTGTGGCCCTGTCTGGCTTGGAACTCACTATAAAGTCAAGGCTGGCCTCAAACTCAAAAATGGACATGACTCTGCTTCCAGAGTGCTAGGATTAAAGGCACTGAGACACTGGGCCAGGCTCCTGGTTTTGTTCTCTAAATTAGATCTTCACATCTTGCTTAACCTAGGCTCAGATGAATATGTGCCACCACTTGCTGAGTAGGTAGGAATTTAGGTGTTACCACTCTGGTTTGGTTACCATCCTAGGGTTGCTAAGGCTCAGTGCAGACTGCATATCTCATATGTATGAGGCCCAGGGTTCAGTAAAAAAGAAGGACGACTGCGCTGTCTTGCTGCACACACCTGGAATCCCAGAACTCAGGACACTGGCAAGGTGACCAAGAGGATGAGGCCTGAGTAGGAAAATGGCTCAGTTGCTAAAGTGCTTATTGCTATGCAAGCTTGAGGACCTGAATGCAGCTCCCGGAACTTCTTTATATGTATGGGTGTTTGCTTCTACCACTGTTATGCCTAGAGTCCAAGAAGGTCATAAGAAGGTATCAGTTCCCCTGGAACTGGAGCTGTGAGCTGCCATGTGGATATTGAGAATTGAACCTGGGTCCTCTGGAAGAGCAGCCAGTGATTTTAACTGAGCCATATCTCCAGCACTGCCAGTCAGCCTCCTGTTTCTCTGTAGCCCTGGCTGGCCTGGAACTCACCGGCTGAGTTCAACCTTCTTGTTAGTATGACATTTTGAGGAGTGTAGTCTAATTACTGTCCTTGGTGTTGTACCTAATGAGAATGGCAAACAGGCTTTAGCAAGATAGCAGAAGTTAGTGCCATTGTCAGGCCTGGGGGATGGGGGAAGGGCATTGAGTTTCTCCCCTTCTTCTGTGGCATTTGGAGCATAAGCTGGGTCATATCTGTCGTCTTACAGGACACATTTGACATCCGGATCCTGATGGCCAAATCTGTCAAGTACACGGTGAACTTCTTAGAAGCCAAAGAAGGCGATTTGCACAGGTAGCCTTCATCCCCCCGAGCACCCAAGGCCACTGGTACCCACCCCTGCACCTCCTTCTCACAGTCATGTACTGTCAACTCCCTGGTCACTCATGGCCAGCTGCTGTCCTGCTACCCCTCCCACTCTCCTGTTAGGTTGGGCTTTTACAGCAAGCCCTTTGCCCTTTGCCTTGCAGGATAGAAATCCCATTCAAATTCCACATGCTGCATTCAGGGCTGGTCCATGGCTTGGCCTTCTGGTTTGATGTTGCGTTCATTGGCTCCATGTAAGTATGGCACTGCTGGGACTCCTTGTACCTATGGCCTCTAGGCTTGGCTATGTCATAACTCCTTAGGTTCTTCTCATCTAAAACCCAGGAAAAACAAGGGGGGAGGGAATGGTTGTCATTTCCTCAGCAGCCACCCTGTGTACCTGTCCCTTAAATGTGTTTGTCTCAGTACATGGGTATCAGGGTGAGCAGGGACCCAATGGCCATGGGTTGGCTGTGCTCCTAGAGTACAGCCAGTCTTAGCCCTGAGACCCCAGAGGACCATTCAGGGAAGGCCCTTGGGGATGGTGTCAAGGAGTGTGGGGTAGTAGCACAAATGGTCATGCCAACTCAATGAAGTGTATTTTTCTCTTCTTGACAGAATGACCGTGTGGCTATCCACAGCCCCAACAGAGCCCCTGACCCACTGGTACCAGGTCCGGTGCCTCTTCCAGTCACCGTTGTTTGCCAAGGCCGGGGACACGCTCTCAGGGACATGTCTGCTTATTGCCAACAAAAGGTGCACCCTGCCACCCATCTAGGGCTGGATAGGCACAGGGGTCTACCAGCCCAGCTGCCTCACAGCCACCCTCTCTATTCCCCCAGACAGAGCTATGACATCAGTATTGTGGCACAGGTGGACCAGACAGGCTCCAAATCCAGTAACCTGCTGGATCTAAAGAACCCCTTCTTCAGGTAGTGCAAGGTTTTAGTGGGGAGAGGGCACCAGGAGTCCCACAGCCCTGCCCACAGTTAATGTCTGCCATAGGTACACAGGTACAACTCCATCACCCCCACCTGGCTCACACTACACGTCTCCTTCGGAGAATATGTGGAACACGGGAAGCACCTACAATCTCAGCAGCGGGGTGGCCGTGGCTGGTGAGTCTGAATATTATTTCCAGACATGGCTTGGTGGCAACATGGACCCCAAGTCCCCAGAGCCTGCCCCACCCCTAACACCTACTTTCTGGTTAGGAATGCCTACTGCGTATGACCTGAGCAGTGTTATTGCTGGCGGCTCCAGTGTGGGTCACAACAACCTGATTCCCTTAGGTGAGTGTCCCCTGGGACTTATGGCATGGCAGGGGAGGACTGGGATGTGCCAGTGGCCAGTTAAACCAGTGCTTGGTTCTCTGCCACCACTGTCGCTGTCGTGGTCACTTCTTCCTCTTCCTTGGGGACTCTAGCCCTGTGTATCTCTTTACTTTCACCTGTCACCACTCCACCTGCCCTTCCCACACCATCCATGAAAGTGGAGTGGGCCAGGCAGGCTGGGGGCGGTGACATCTCCCTCCCTCCCTCTTTCCTCCCTGTCGCTGCGCAGCCAACACAGGGATTGTCAATCACACCCACTCCCGGATGGGCTCCATAATGAGCACGGGCATTGTCCAAGGTAACAGGGTAGCGGGGCCGTGGGCGGGGGACCTCCCGCCTGGCCTGCGCACACGTTCAAGCTACCAGTGGGGGCCAGGCAGGCTCAGGGGTCATGCTGGCTCCTCAGTGCCCATGACCTGCCCCACAGGCTCCTCAGGTGCCCAGGGAGGCGGCGGTAGCTCCAGTGCCCACTATGCAGTCAACAACCAGTTCACCATGGGTGGCCCTGCCATCTCTATGGCCTCGCCCATGTCCATCCCGACCAACACCATGCACTATGGGAGTTAGGTGCCTCCAGCCGCGACAGCACTGCGCACTGACAGCACCAGGAAACCAAATGAAGTCCAGGCCCGGCACAGCCGGTGGCTGTCCCCCTTGTTCTGGAGAAGCGTGAACACCCGGTCACAGCCCTCTTTGCTATGGGAACTTGGACATTTTTGTACACGATGTTGCCGCTGCCCTCAAGTACCCCCAGCCCAACCTCTGGTCCCAAGCGCATATTGCTGCCATACTTTACATGAGATCCTGGGGCAGCCCTCATCCTGTTCTGTACTCTTCACTCTGACCTGGCTTTGACATCTGCTGGAAGAGGCAAGTCCTCCCCCCAATCCCCACAGCTGCAACTGACCAGGCAGGAGGAGGCCAGCAGCTGCCACCACAGACCTGGCAGCACCCACCCCACAACCTGTCCTTGCACCTCCCCTCACCTGGGGTGGCAGCACAGCCAGCTGGACCTCTCCTTCAACTACCAGGCCACATGGTCACCATGGGCGTGACATGCTGCTTTTTTTAATTTTATTTTTTTACGAAAAGAACCAGTGTCAACCCACAGACCCTCTGAGAAACCCGGCTGGCCGGGCCAAGCCAGCAGCCCCTGTCCCTAGGCCCAGAGGTTCTAGGTGAGGGGTGGCCCTGCCGAGCCTTCAAGGCAGGCGCAGCCCCCTCCCACCAAAGGGTTCACCTCAAACTTGAATGTACAAACCACCCAGCTGTCCAAAGGCCTAGCCCCTGCTTTCTGCTACTGTCCGGTCCTGAGCCCTGAAGGTCCCCCTCCATCAAAAGCTGGAACAGGCAGCCCAGAGTGGGTCACTGAGGCATACAAGAAACCTCAAAGATCTGTCACAGAAGGAAGGCGTCCTCTCCTGATAGCTAACATAGGCCTGTGTGTTCCCTCCGCATTCATGTTCCACTTACCCCTCTCTCAAGACAGCGTCCCTGGGAAGGGGCCTAGCAGGGACCTCTCCCCAGACAAAAAGAAGAGCAAACAAGGAAGGGTGATTAATAAGCACAGGCAGTTTCCTCTGTTCCCTCGCCCTAGAGTCCCCATCTCAATGGCCACAGCTCAGGCTGGGCTTTTGCCTGCCACAGGTACCCCTTGGCAAAGGCTGGAGCTGCTCTGTGCCACCCCCCTGACCTGTCAGGGAATCAGAGGGCCCTCAGGCGGCTGGGAAACCAGGCTCTCCTGTCCATCAGTAATACTCCCTGCTCGGCTGCCCCTCCCCACCTTTATATAAATTCTCTGGATCACCTTTGCATAGAAAATAAAAGTGTTTGCTTTGTAAGAAAAGCCTGCAAAACAGCAGGGTAGTCTCCAGGGTCCAAGAATCCTCCAATCTTCATACGGAGGGCAGGACTAGTAGCTTCCCCCTTGAGTTTGGCCTGAAAAAGAAAGACTCCTAGGAATGGTCCCAGGAGGAAGGGGCACCCTCGGCCAAAACAGAAACTGGTGCCTCACCTGTGAGCCTTCCTAGAAGGTCGTCATGGGCTTGACTGAACTGGGCAGCAGGACACTGGGAGATACAGGTGTGGCTTGGGGTACCACATGGTCCAGAGGCAGTGGCTGGAAGAAGTACAGCTGCAGAGAGACCTCAGGATGAAAGTACAGTTGGGTGGCAGACAGCAAACTCCACTCCACAGCCCTGGTGAGGACTACCTGGAACCTACCTTACAGCCTAGAGCCAAGAGAGCGTGAAGCAGCACCACAGTAGACAGTAGTGCCGCAGCTACCAGCCGTGTATCCTCTCGGACAACAGGCCACAGTGTGAACACCAGCCCAGCAGCTGACAGGGTCAGGGCCAGGGCTCCAAAGAGCCACTGTAGCCATTGCACTGGGATAAGCCACAGGACCTAATGTGACACGTATAGCTGGTGACCATACTGGTGGGCCATGTAGCTCCCAGCAGTCCCCAGGGCCAAGCTAGACTCACCACAGTGGGGATGAAGACAAAGAGTGAATAGCCATAGACACAGACAGTCTCCAAGAAGGTGTACAGCCCCATGCGCTCTCTTGTGCCCTGACGCCACCGGAGGAAGCCCCACAGTGCCAGCGGCACTAGCCACGCATAGCAGTAGATGGTGATACCTGCTATTGTCACTGGAGATGCAAAGTGGGCAGTCAATGCATGCTCTTGGACCCTGGCATCAAGGAGCTGAGCCCACCCACCCTGCTTACCCTTGTGGAACTGGGGACTGTAGTGAATGGAGGGATCTCGTCTCTGTGCAAGCACCAAAGTGAGATTGCCAGTAACTGCCAGGACAAAGGCCAGGGTAGCACAGATCCAGAAGGGGCCTGCAAAGGAGGATATGGAGTCCCAGGTACATTCCTTCTGGGGAGTGTGCCTATGTCCTAAATCAAGTGTGCTAAGACCCCTAGACTCTCTCAAGGTCACTGCTGACAAGTGCTGTATTTGGGCTCATCCTGTCTTTCTGGAAATATCTTCCAAATGCCTCAAGCACTTAGCTCTTTTCTCTGACAAAATGGCCTACAGGTAGAACAGGCTTGGTGGTTCTCCACTGTGGGCAGGATCTTGTCCAGAGGCTTCATGCATTCCACCTTCATGTCTCCACTCCCAAACTGTCCCAGGGCCCTGGATTCATGTGCTTATTTCTTGAACTTCACATGTAAGACCTGGGCCTCTAGACACTTGGTCTGCTCCTCATACCTGTCCAGCTTTTCCAGTCTACCCATGGCAACTCTGTTAGTGGACTGGGTAGAAAGTACCCTGGCCTTCCTCACTCCTCGAGGTTGTAGGGCAGACTCCATTGTAATGTCTGTGCCCTGCCTGCTCTTGTTGGCTTCTGCCCTCACTTTCCAGTGCTAGATGAGATCCTGGAAATACTTGAGTAAGATCCCTTCGCACCACTCTATGGGACCTGTGCACTCATCCCCTACTCATGACCTCCCAGCTCCTCCATCCACTGCAAGGACATTTGCTACCATGCAACTCAGTTGTTTCCACCATGGTACCTACAAGCTTTCTGGGTCCTCTTCTAAGCCTTTCACCACCTTTCGCCAGCATGACTCATTTGCTTACCCTACTCAAGGACCTTCCTGACTTCCCTATTCCAGACAACAATGCCATTCACCCTGAGTTAGTCAAAGCTACCACTTTCTGCTTCCCATCTTGGTGTCTCCCTCAACTAAACACAAGTTTTGCTCTTCGTGCATGACTGCCCTGTCAGGGCCTGGCACAGTCCCATGTTGAGTGATCCATTGATTCAAACATACACCCCCCCCCCACTTACCATATAGGTCAGGATGATTTCTAAGGTGGTGCCGCACAAAATTGTGGCCAGGGTGGGGCAGCAGAGAGCCTTTGATCCTGTCCAAGACCTGGAGAGCAAAGCCCAAGGTCCAGAATGAGAATCCTAGCATGCTGAGAGACATCCACTATCTTGCCAGCACATCCTACCTGAATGAGCTTGAACATGTCACCACTATGAAGGTGGATTTCAGGCCTGCCACCTTGCTCTCAGCTTCTTGCAGCCTCTCCTCCCAGTCAAAGTAAGGACAGTCCCTAAGTTCTGGATGGTCTCCCTCTTACATCTCCAGGATGTACCCTCTCAGTGGACCTGGTTTATTACTAGAGGCTGGCCCGATTGGGAAACATACTGGCTTTAAGACACGCACCCATCCACATCTACTTTGTAACCCAGCTTTTGCCTCCCAGCCCCACCATACCCATCCCATCCAAATTCAGTTCTCAAGTATAGTGCCTGAACCCTAAGAAACTCCCAAGTTCTTACCACCAATGTCCCATGACTCACCTGGGAAGTGTCCACATCAAAGAAGCTCTGATAGTAGTCAAACGTCCAGAATCTGGGCTGTGGCTTTTCTTCCTGTAGAAGCTATAAGACAAACTTTCAGAACTTGCCTGCTCAGCCAGAGTAAGGACAGAGGCAGAGCTTCGGGGCCTAGGAGACTCACTGATGTCTTGTCATCCTCTTCCTCCCCTACTTCGGCTCCATAGCCAATGTCTGAACCCACAGCCACAGCCACGTGATCTCGGGAGGTCAGCTCAGCACTTTGACTAGTGGTAGCTGCATCTGGGGTCTCTGCCAGAAGATTTGTGGCTTCCTCGAACTCTACGGAGAGGGAATATGGGCATAGGTGTTTGGAGTCTGAAATTTTCTTTGGCCCAGTGTTTATTCATATATTGGGACTATGGCTGCTTCACAGCCCTCCCCTAATGGCTGAGTTTTTTTCAGTTTTGATGCATAGGTAGGTTTGTTCGTCTACTAAGATGGGGTTCAATTTAGGTCCTGTGCAGAGTTGGAGACTGTGACGTGCCTTTTTGAGTTCATGGAAGGAGCAGAAATTGACTGCAAGGATGAACCTGAGGTCTGGGACCCAGCAGCCTAAGGTTCTAGCCTAGGACAGGAGTGGGAACTCTAACCACTTCCGGGCTCCACTCACCGTGGAAGGCCAGTTCGTCAGCCGCTGCCATGATTCTTTGGAGGTGTCACCGCATCGCACTCTGTGGACAGAAACGCATCAGTCCCACAGCCCTCCCCAAGACTGACGCTTCCGTTTAGACTCCTGCATGGAGCCTAACACGCGAAGTGGAGCTTCAGCGCCAAGCCAGATCCCTGTAGATGCACCCCACCTTCCTCACCTGAGGCTACCTAAGCTGGCGTGGCTCTTGCTCCGTGCGCGTGCGCGCCGCCCGCCTACCCGTCAGAGCCCACCCTTCTCGACGCAACGGCAACATCCGGCACTAGGTCCGTCTCCTACTGTCTTCCAGTGGGAAACTACTTCCTGTATCTTGCGCTTGCGCAGGAGTTCCTCTCCGGACTTTTTCATTCCGACGCTATACATTTCCACTCGGCTGAGGAACCTCCGGAAAATGATGGTGACAGCAGCTCTTAAGAGATTCTGGTCCCGTGGGCGCAGTGAAGCGGGAGGAGAGGCAAGTGGTGCCACGACCGTGGTGGTTAAGCCAGGGGTGTGGACGCGACTGGGTGAGTAGTGGCTGCAGGGTGGGTGGCCCGAGTGGCTGAATCATTGTCACCGCGGCGCTTCTTTCCCCTCAGGCACCTGGGCCCGCTCACTGCTTCGGGATTACGCCGAGGCGTGCGGAGACGCGGCGGCTGCGGCGCGAGCTCGACCGGGCCGCGCGGCGGTGTACATGGGACTGCTGGGCGGTGCTGCAGCGTGTTGCGCGCTGGCGCCCAGCGAGGCGGCATTCGAGGAGGCTTTGCTTGACGCATCAGGTTCTCTCTTGCTGTTGGCGCCGGCCACACGCAACCGCCACTCGGAAGCGTTCTTGCAGCGCCTGCTGTGGCTGAGGGGCCGCGGACGGCTGCGGCACGTGAACCTGGGATTCTGTTCACTGGTTTACGAAGCGCCCTTCGACGCCCAGGCCAGCCTCTACCAGGCCCGCTGCCGCTACCTGCAGCCACGCTGGGTCGACTTTCCGGGCCGGGTCCTTGACGTGGGGTTCGTGGGCCGCTGGTGGATCCTGGAGAACCGCATGCATGATTGCGACATCAACGACGACGAGTTTCTCCACCTGCCTGCGCACCTCCGCGTCGTCGGGCCTCACCAGTTGCACTCTGAGGCCAATGAGAGGCTGTTCGAGGAGAAGTACAAGCCGATTGTACTCACCGACGATCAAGTGGACCAGGCGCTGTGGGAGGAGCAGGTGCTACAGAAGGAGAAAAAGGATCGGCTAGCTTTGAGCGAAGCTGATTCACTCGTTCAGTCCGATGTTTCCAGATGAAACTGAAGGCTGCCCCCAGGTCACCAGGCACGGGCAAACTGTTGGCCACGGATGGTGCAGTTGGTGAGATGTATAGAGAGAAAATACCCTCATTGTGACTTTATTATGCTTATCGCCCCAGAACCACTAGTAAGGAACCTGTGCTGTGTAGCCTTTGCAACTCGGGATGTACTTCAAGGGTAGAGCATTTGTCTAGCTTGCCTTGGTTCCTGGCTTGCATTTCCAGCACTGCAAAAGCAGAACAAAAATGGGCTTTTGGTTTTGGGGTTTTTGTTTATTTGGTTGGTTTGTGAGACTGTGACTCCCATATGCCCAGTCTGGCCCTGACTCCTGCATCAGCTCTAGTGCACCGCAGTGCACTGCCCACGCATTTGTCCTGTTCATTTATGGGGCTACAAAGACGTCCTGAGTGCCAGTGACTCCCAAGATCCTAAGACCAATCCCCTAAACCCTCTTTTGGTAGTGTATATCTGTGAATTTTTTTGAGGAAGATCTGTGTTTCCCAAGCTAGTCAAAGAGTACTGACTGTTCCTTCCTTTGGAGAACCTTGATTCAGTTCTCAACAGCCTGATCTGTAACTCTAGTTCAGAGAATCTAACGTACTTGGGTACTAGGCAGGCACATGGCGGTGCACAGACAAAACATCCACGTACATATTTTAAAGATCCTCCTAAATCACCTCCCAAGATTGTGACTAAAGTCGTGTGCCAGCGTGCCTAACCTCCGATTTTTCTTTTTCAGTTGTAGCTGAAATGTATGTGTTTGAGGCTTTTGTTTGTTGTGTTTTTTGGTTTGTTTGTTACACTGGCTTCCACAGAACTGGCTATGAAGAACAATCTGCCCTTAAACTCAGAGGTTTGTCTGCTTCTCAGATTGGATTTTTTTGGTTTGTTTTGTTTCTGAGAAGTGGTCTCACAGCCCAGACCAGCCTCAAACTGTATAGCAAAGGATGACTGAATAATGGATCCTCTTGCCTACACTTCACAAATGAAGTGAAATGTTTCTGTTGTGTGGTTTTTATTATTGTTGGGTACTTGGGCTAGATATTAAATCCAGGGGCTTGTACATACTAGGCAAGCACTGTACCCCCAGTCCTTGGGGTTTTTGTTTTGTTTGATAATCTTATGTGGTCCTTGAGGACCTTTGACCTTGCTTGTCTTAACTAGTAATGTTGTATATTACTGTCAGTGCAGGAGACAGATGCAGAGGCAAACAAATTTTACTGTATATATGTGTGGCAGCAATTGCAAGCATGGTGGAAGGCTGGAACATGTTCTGATTCGAGAGTGTACCTGCAGTCATGTGTCATTAAACTGCAGGGACCTTGGAAACAGTTGGAAAGGAACAGGATGGGGCACATGGGTTGGACCTTTCAAGCTAAAATCTTAGGGAAGCAAAACTACCCATGTCAGGTGGACTGTGGCTTGTCAATAAAAGCAGGAGATGAAGTAGTCATCTTGGTCATGAGTTTGTTGGTGGTGGGAGGGCTTCACACAGACTAAGGATGTGCTGTACACTGAGCTATTCTCAGTCCTGGTGGTGCGATTCTGTGTTTTGCCTCTTTCATTCATTATCAGATATATTGAAAGTATTGAAAGTATGGTATTTGTTTGGTTGATTTTTCAAGACCTGGGTTTTTGGAGACCTGCCTGTCCAAGAGCTCAAGAGGTTCCCCCCAGTCTTAGCTTCCCAAGTGGGAGGATTAAGGGCGTGTGCCACCACCTCCTGCATATGGTAGGTCTTGAGTCAAAGTCTTCTGGCCAGATGATGATGTTAATTCATGTCTTCTGGATTGGTCAAGCGGCTCAGCAGGGGAAGACATGTTCAGCCAAGCCAACCACCTGAGTGGAACTCAGGTGAGAAAGAAAGAACTAACTCCTCCAAGTTGTTCTGTGACTTTCACACACAAAAATTAAATTAAGAGGTAATACAGGTTCCAAAAAAAAAATCCACATCTGAATTATGTTTTAATTAATATTTACTAGTGGTGGCTCATAATAAGATTCACTAAAGGATTTTCTTATGTGTATATAAAATATTTTTATTCACTCTCCATTACCATTTCTTGCAATCCACTCCCATTATATGCTTCCTCTTTTCCCAGTTAGCACCTCTGTGTGTGTGTATGTGAGAGAGGGGGGGGGAGGGGGAGAGAGAGAGAGAGAGAGAGAGAGAGAGAGAGAGAGAGAGAGAGAGACTGTCTGTCTCAGTATGTAATCCTGGATGGCCTAGAATGATATAGATCAGGCTGGCCCAGACCTAGAACTAGCCTTTACCTCCCTAGAGCTAGCACTTACTTCTATTTGTATGGTTTTGTGTGTGGATTTAAACTTGATTACAGCCTCATGGAAACCTTTCCAGTGACTGGAAATATACTTCTGAGGAAGTTTCTCTCCCTCCCTCCCTTTAGCAACTATTACTGACACACAAATCCCCATAGAGGGAGGGCTCTTCTAGTCTTGTGGAGATCTTGTACAGGTGATCACAAACAATGCTGTGAGTTCAAGAATACAACAGCTAGGGACTGTAAGAAGGTTCAGTTCAAAAGGCACTTCATTGCCATAAACCCTGATGACCTGAGTCTGACCCTCAAGACCCACTTGATGGATGGGAAGAAAATTAATTCCACTAGATTATTTAAGTACAACAGCAGGATCCTGCTTGAAAGTTAGTGTTTCATACCACTCTCCACTTCTTCGAGCTCTTCTGTTTGTCTGTCCTTTCTTCCAGTGTTCCCTCAGCCTTGTAGGGGATAACCAAGATGTCATGCATCTCAATTTTAAAGAGAGGGGGAAAAATCAATGTTCAGGTAAGGAAGATGGCTTAGCAGATAAAACACAAGCATGTGGCCCTGAATTGAAGTAGCCAGTACCCACATGCAGAGCAGGGCATGCCTCCACACAGTCAAGCCCAGCACTGGGGGCCTGAAGACAGGTAAACACCAAGAGTTTGCCTGCGAACCAGCTCAAGTTCAACGAGAGACCCTGTCTCCAAAAGAGGTTTGGGTACAGACTGGACACATGCCTTTGATCCCAGCATTCCTGGAGGCTAATATAAGTGAGCTTATATCTGAGTTCAAGGCCAGCTGGTCTACATAGTGAAACCTTGTCTTTGAGAGGGAGAGGGGGTAGGGGAAGAAAACATAGGAAAATGCTTCTGTGAGCCTCTTCGAGTCTATGACAGTCACTTGCACTCCAGCTCACAGCCCCTTCACTTAGTTTGCAGACTGATGCCCAGAAGTTATCCTCTAACCTTGACAAGCATGCCCTGGCAGAGATGTGCCTATTGTCTTTGATCCTAAGCTGTCTAACCATACTTTATTTTGTGGGGGAGGGCAATTCCTTCCTCCCAAATAGTGTGGAATATAAGGCAAGTACTCTGTCTGTCGGTCACATTCTGGCACCTCCGTGCTAAAAGGTGTTAAATAATGTCATCCCTTGTTGTAAATAAACCTTGTTTGAAAGGACTTGGAGATTCAGCTCAGTGGGTAAGAGCACTTACTGTTGTTGCAGAGGACCTGGGTTCAGTTCCCAGTAGTCACATGGTGGCTTCCTACCATCCGTTAATTCCTGTTTCAGGTGATACTGTACCCTCTTCTGTGAACTGAAAGCATAAGGCCTGTGTATGTACAAACAAAACAGATATAAATTGCCAGGTGTGGTGATGCACCCCTTTAATCTCAGACTTGGAAGGCAGAGGCAGGTGGATCTCTTGAGTTCCCAGGACAGTTAGAGCTACATTGTAAGACCCTGTCTTAAACAGCAACAAAAAAGGCTGATTCCCAGAAGTTCTCTTGTAACCTCGACAAGTGTGCCCCGCGGGGTTATGCCTACTCTCACACATCATACACAACTTTAAGGTTCGTTTTATGTCTTTGATTGTTTTGCCTGTATTAATGCATATGTACCACATAAGTGCAGTGCTCAGAAGGGTCAGAAGAGGGCATCACATCGCCTGTTGAAAGTTACAGGTGGTTGCGAGTTACCATACGGCTACTGTGCCTGAACCCAGGCCCTCTGCGAGAGCAGCAAGTCGTGCCCACTGAGCCATTTCCCCAGCTCTGTATAATTTTTATAAACTTTTTTTTAAAGCTAGTCAGCAAAATGATTCAGTGGGTAGACATGCTTGCCATTTGAGCCTGATAATCGGAGGTTGATCCCCATAATTGAAAGAGTTCTTTCTCCTCTGACCTTTGCTGTGCATACATGTTCCAGCACTCATATACAAGATACACAGCATGAACAATTGAAAGGGGAAAACCTCAATTCTAGTACTACTCAGTAACTTACCTAAACTCTGGTCCAAAATCCAGCTCCTCCCTTTTGTCATGAAACAGAATTTCCTGTAGCCCTGCATAGTCTAGAACTTGTATGAAGCCAAGGATGACCTTAAACTCTTTACTCTGTCTCTGCCTCCTGAGTCCTGGGATAACAGGTATGTCCTGTGCACAGCTTTCCATCCTTTTTGTTACATTAGCTGTAATAGCTCTTCTTGGCTTTCAACTTGACTGCATCTGGAATTAACTGAATCCTAAGGGGCTAGGTACACTCCTGAGAGATTTTTTTTTTTCATTAAATCATTTGAAGTGGGAAGACCAACTTTTTCTTTCTTCTTCTTTTTTTTTTAAGATTTATTTATATGAATACACTGGAGCTGTCTTCAGACACATATTAGAAGAGTGCATGTGGTTGCTGGGAATTGAACTTAGGACCTCTGGCAGAACAGTCAGTACTCTTAACCGTTGAGCCATCTCTCCAGCCTGGGAAGACTAACTTTTAATCTGGGTCTATTGAGGTGAATCTGAATTACACCTGTTGGTGGCAGCCTTTTATACAGGTCATAAAAGAAGAGTAAGTCTCAGTCTGTGTGTGCGTGTGTGTGTGTGTAAGGCCTGAATCCTCTTCAAGAGCAACAAATGCTCTTTAACAGCTGAGCCAACTCCCAGCCTCTCCCAAACAAGGTCTCAATATATAGCCCTGGCTGTCCTTGAACTCACATGTGGACCAAGCTGGCCTCACACTCACAGAGCTGTGCCTGCTTTGTCCAGGCCTGACGGACCCTCATGGGAGTGGCTAGGGAAGCTCCATGCAGCTTCCATTCTGTGAAGCACAGCAGATACAAGCTGCTTCATCCATTTACTGGCTTTCAGGAATGGAATGTGGTGGCAGAAGCTGGTGCCATAGGGAAGGGCTACATCCATTGCTAGAACCTGTGTCTTGCCTGATCTGCAAAAGAGGCAAACATTGGGACATGAGCTATCGGTTCCATCCTCGTCTGTAGACTACAGCCCGGACTTCAGGAGGACACCTCTCAGGGTGATGTGTAGGCCCTGGAGGGGGAAGACAGTCCTTAGACTCCATTGCCCTTAGCCAGCCAGGTACTACCTTGCACATACCAATGTTTGCTTAGCCCAGTCAAGTCACCAGGTATGCAGCCTGGTCATCCATACCTGTTCTCCATTAAAGCCATGTGTTTTGTGAGCCAGCCCCTGAAGCTCTTCTTCATGATTGAGATGTATACTTTTTAGCTAGCCACCTGCCCCCTTCTGGGTTTGATGCCTTGACAGGGACAGCTAGCCCTCTTGTGGCAGGTTCTCCACCCAGGGAGCCAACCAAGGTGGAATGGTGTGACAAGGGTGGCTGGCACTCAGCTGTGCTTACCTGGCATGTAGGGAGCCCCAGGCTCCAGCCTGAGCACTGTTAATAGATCATGTACAACCTGTAATCTCAGCACATTTCTCTGAGAGCACAGTAAGACTAAAGGGAAACTCCTTAATACTCAAGGCCACCCTCAACTATGTAGTGATCCAGTTAAAGGCCAGCCTGGGCTAAATGAGACCCTACCTCAAAACAAAAACAAACAAACATAAAAAAAAACTCAACAATAAAGTAGATTAGGAAAAACTGTCACAGATTCCTGCTGTTATTTCCTAAATAATGAAGTATAAAGCTAGGCACTGTGGCTTGCACCTATTATCACAGCCAAGAAGAGGCTGAGGCAGGAGGATCACAATGGTTTAAATCTAGCCTGAGCTATGACACAGTGGTGTTGATGTCACTGGGAACACTTGCCTAGCATACACTTGCCCTAGCTCCCATTCTAGTACCAGAAACAATAAGATGTCTGTGAGTTCCAGGCCAGCCACAGCTACATGGGGATGTAGTAAACAAATAGATGTCGACCACCAAGCACGACCCTAGAGCACCCACAAGAGTGGATGGAGAGGGGCTTGAAGAGAGGAAGGTTAAAAAAATGGTTTTGTTTTTGTTTTTTTAAGTGGAAGGAGCCAGGCAGTGGTGGCATACACTTTTGATCCCAGCAACTCAGCAGGTTGAGGAAGGTGGATCTCTGTGAATTTGAGGCCAGCCTGGTCTATAGAACTAGTTTCAGGACAGCCAAGACAAAGAAACCCTGTCTGGAAAAACACAAAAACAATAGAAAGGTGGAAGGAGAGA